GAGAGATGCCAAGCCAATGATGGTCCTTTTCAAATCACTTGTTCTCTCTAGGCTGGAATACTGCTGTACATTAACATCTCCATTCAAAGCAGGTGAAATCGCAGATCTAGAGAGTGTACAGAGATCCTTTACTGCACGTATAAGTTCTGTCAAGCACCTTAACTACTGGGAACGCTTGGAAGCACTTGACTTGTACACGTTGGAACGCTGGAGGGAGACATATCATAATCTACACTTGGAAAATTCTGGAAGGAATGGTCCCAAATCTGTACACAGAAATCACTCCCTACGAAAGTAAAAGACTTGGGCAGGCGATGCAAAATGCCCCCCCCAAAAAGTAGGGGCGCCATTGGTACACTAAGGGAAAACACCATAAGTGTCCGGGGCCCAAGACTGTTCAACAGCCTCCCATCAAGCATTAGGGGAATTGCCAATAAACCCCTGGCTGCCTTCAAGAGAGAGCTGGACAGATACCTAAAGTCAGTGCCGGATCAGCCGGGCTGTTGCTCGTACGTTGGACTCGTGCGGCCAGCAGTAACAGCCTGGTTGATCAGGCCCTGATCCATCGGGGGTCCTGGTCATGGACCGGGCCGCGGGGGCGTTGATCCCCGGAATAACCTCCAGGTATACCGGTGACATCGCACACTGTACCTGTGATTTCTAACACTGTACCTGCGATTTCTGAGACTGTACCTGTAATTTCTAACACTGTACCTGTGATTTCTAACACTGTACCTGTGATTTCTAACACTGTACCTGTGATTTCTAACACTGTATCTGTGATTTCTAACACTGTACCTGTGATTTCTAACAATATACCTGTGATTTCTAACACTGTACCTGGTTTCAGGGACCTCCCGCGTTGATCCCCGTAACACCAGTAACCGTGACTTTCGCACACTGTACCTGTGATATTCTAACACTGTACCTGGATTTCTGACACTACCTGTGGCATCTGACACTGTACCTGTGATTTCTGACACTACCTGTGATATCTAACACTGTACCTGTGATTTCTGACACTACCTGTGATATCTAACAATGTACCTGTGATTTCTGACAATGTACCTGCGATTTCTAACACTGACCTGTGATTTCCTGACAACCCGAGATATACTACCACTGACCCGCCATGCAGTTCTGACACACCTGGTAACTAACACTGTACCTGTGATCCTGACACTACTTGCATCTGACAGTCCTGGATTTCTGGCACTGACTGTATTTCTATCACTCTAACGTGATTTCACATACCTGTGATATCAACAATGTCCTGTGATTTCTGACATACCTCATTTCTGAGATAGCTGTTGAATATACCCTTCGAAGAATTACAGAGTATACTACTCTCTGATGCCCGGCCAGGCAGCTCCTAGTGCTTGCTGGTCAACCACTGTGCTGCTGGATGGCCCGCCCCCATATCCATCAATCCTGGTTAATTGTTATGGCCTGTGAGATAGCTTGCAGTTTCCTCTTGAGGCTCAACGTTGTTCCAGCGTGTTCTGATACTCTCCGGTAAATTAAAGTCATGGACCCGGTTCTCTACAGCGTTCCTATTGTCCCACGCACCTGCTTCCACTGTTATTTTACACTTCCCCATATCCTCATCAGTATGTTTATGGCAGTGACCGGATTTGGACCAGCCCTCGAGTACTCAGGTATATTTACATGTACCTTACCTCGCTGATTTCTGACACTGTACCTGTGATTTCTAACACTGTACCTGTGATTTCTGACACTGTACATGTGATTTCTAACACTGTACCTGTGATTTCTGACACTGTACCTGTAATTTCTGACACTACCTAGGATTTTCCTTGTCTGCCTCCACAAATGGACTGTTCCATCCCCCACATGCAAATGATCCCCACAAATCCGTGTTAGAGGGTAGTAGTTTGATCAAGGCTATCTCCTACCAATGCATACTTAATTGTGGCACGCTGAGCCGCATACTGCCTTGCATGCTGTGCTAACCCATCATCGTCAGAGATTATATCACAATTTTTAATGACTCTCCCAGCTGGTAAACGAAGCCTGAAGCTTTGCGAAGACAGAATTTTACTGCTGTCACATTACTGACTGGATTTTAGCTGTGTATAAACAATTATATGTCACCTTATTTCAGTGTCAGATCTCAAATGTTTTGTAAGGCTGAGCAACCTCTGATACTTAATGTTTTTTAACCGAGAATATATTAATTTTAGTGAAAAAGTTGAAATTTCTTAAAAGAAATATTTTTAAATATTAAGTTGGGTCTTTCCTCTCCTTCATTGGATCGAATCTCATTGTCTCCTATTCTCATGATCTCTACCGCTGCTAAGAGTCTGAAGCCGATCAGAAGAGGCATTATAGTTTTTGCTCTGAATCCATCGATTCTAAGCCTTTTAGTTATGTTAGAAAATTTGCAAATTTGCATTGACATATCATGACCACATTGTTACTAGCCTGTGCATGAGAAGTATCCGTCAGTCAAGATGGTGGTTGTCTAGTACAAGTTTACTTGAGTTATTTTACGGAAAACTTGCCACTTGGCACCTAGACACCTCAATAACAAGCCCAACTTCCTAGAAAACTTGCGACTTTGCACCTAAACACCTCAGTAACAAGCCCAATTTTCTAGGAACAAATACACCACTATTGAAAGTTTAAAATCTGCCAGGAAAGAGCATTCTCAATTCATCACACGAAAACCAAATTCGGGAATGATTTATATAAAACTGACTAGAAGGCGCCTGCACATGCCAGTAGTTACACGAACATTTCCCTAGGTACAGCTCACCAGCCTTCAAAATTTGCAGCCTGTCGGGTGAAGCGTTCTCAAGTAATAAGCGAACACCTTGGAGGAAGGTGAAAATTTATGCAAGCTCTTGACGCTTTCCCTTCGAGGATACCTGATAGAAAGTTAAACAGATATATAACGTAAACTTAAAGACTGTAAACAGGAGAGCAGAAGGACAAGAGGAAGAGGAGGGAGGCGAAGGAGGAAGCGGTGGCGGAGAAAGAAAATGAGCTGTTTTAGGATGAGTTCGAAGAAAAGGAGGAAAAGCGAGGAGGATTAAGGAGAAGAGGAGGAAGAAGAGATAGAGAGGAGGGAAGGAAAATGATCATGTAATCAAAGGCAGCAATAACAGCACCAGCACAAATATGGTAATGTTGGGAAGTAAAGGGGAGAGAGAGATTAAAGAGACACGAGGGGAAAAGCGAACAAAGGGGAAAGAGGCAAGAAGGACGAAGAGAAGGGAGTAGCCAGAATGGAAGATAGCCCTGAGTAGTATTTTGTGCACTAGTAGCAGGTAGTTTTACTGGTGGTATTAAGTAGTTCTAGCGGTAGTAGTCAGTAGTTTGTGGTCGTAGACCGTAGTTGTCGTGGTAATAGTCAGTAGTTGAAGTGATAATAGTAGATGTAGTGGTAACAGTCAGTAGCTGTAGTGGTAATAGTCAGTAGTTGTAGTGGTAATAGTCAGTAGTTGTTTTGGTAGTAGCGAGTAGGAGTAGTAGTAATAGTCAGTAGTTTTAGTGGTAGTATTCAGTAGTTTTATTGATAGTAGTAGTGGTAGTAGTTAGTAGTTTTACTAGTGCTGAATAGTTTTAGTAGCGGTTGTCAGTAGCTTACTGGTAGTAGTAAGTTTTAGTTGTAATAGGTAGTTTTAATATTAGTAAAATGTAGTAATGGAAGTAGTAATTAGTTGTGGTAGTAGTAGTAGTAGAATTAAGTAGTTGTTTGGCACAGTAACTGTGTGCGCGCATGTGCGTTTGCGTGGGCATGTTTGTGTAGTGACTGCGCCCAGGTGATAGTTTATGTTAATGAAGTTAATGAGAGAGAGAGATAAATGCTGTGTAATACCGGGAGAAAATCTTGTGTGTGAGTCTCTCTCTCTCTCTCTCTCTCTCTCTCTCTCTCTCTCTCTCTCTCTCTCTCTCTCTCTCTCTCTCTCTCTCTCTCTCTTCTCTCTCTCTCTCTCTCTCCCTCTCTCTCTCTCTCTCTCTCTCTCTCCCCTCTCTCCTCTCTCTCTCTCTTCTCTCTCACTATCATTACGAGTACAAATGGATATTCCCTCCACCGTTGCCAGCTAGGAAGCAACACAGTGGAGGTATCTTGTCCCAGTGTTGCCAGATGCTGACCATTCTTTGCTTCCCTTCCCCTTTAAAAGCCGGTGATATCAGAACTTCAATATATCTCTATACAGTGTTGCCACATGCTCTGACATTACTCCGCAGCCTTCCCCCCCCCCCTCCACACTTAACAAACACACACAACGGTGCTAGAGGCGATCACCAACAATCTGACTGGACAGAAACCTGGATGCTATTAGCAGACAGAGGATCGAGCCTTCTGGGGTGGATGAGTGTTAGAACCTCAGTGTTGCCACATTCTCCCCCCCCCCAAAAAAAAAAAAAAAGTGGGGCTCAGTGAACATACGAATGAGCCTCGTTTAGCACGTTTTTATCCTCTTTTAAAGAGCTGTGCAAGAACTCTGGCACCTCTCCCACGTAAGTGCCAACATGATGGGCACTGTGCCTCCTCCCCCACTACTGCTAGAACTGTGTGACAGTCTTGCATGTAGCAGCAGTTTCTGTGAGTGCTGTCACCCTAACATTCTGGACCCCTCGCCTGGTTTCCTTCACTGTTACTCCTGGTGTGACCGTCGGGCTATCACGAGCCAGAACCTCATCCAGTTTCGATCCATGAGGCGAAACGTCGTCCAGGTCTCAATGTGAACTTGTATATTTGTCAATAATAATAAGCCGTGATATCAATAAGTTGCTAATAATACTAATAATTATAATTATGGTTATTACTATAATGAATAGTATTTATAATTTAATCAATGTAATTATTATTATGATTAAGTAATTATAATTTATTAATATTAATATAATTATGACTATTAAATAATATTTATATTTTAATAATATAATTATGATTATTAAATAATATTTATAATTTTAATAATTATAACAGTAATAATTAAATAATTATAATAATCTCTGTATCCCAGGTCTCCATGAGACTGACAGTGGACGGTACACCTGTCTGGCAGAGTCCAGGTCAGGGTCGACGCAGCGGTCAGCCTCCCTGCTGGTGGTGGGGGGCGACGACCCTCAAGCCGCCCGCAGCTTCCGCCGAGCGCCGTCACCCTCCGCCTTGCCTCCGCCGCCCACGCGCCCACGCGTCAGCGGCCTCACCAACACCTCCGTCACGCTGGAGTGGGCGCCGCCCCATGCCGGGGGAGACGTGCCCATTCTTGGGTACATCGTGGAGTCGTACATGTCGACGGGGGAGCCCCGAGGGGGGCAGTGGCGGGTGGTGGCCCGGGGCTTGCCCGCCCCCCGCTTTACCGCCCATCTGGAGGCCGGCCGCCCACAGGTATTCGTGGTGAGAGCGGAGAACTCGCTGGGGGAAGTCGCCGCCCTCTCCCTGGTCGCAGGTGGTGCTGGTAGGCGGCGGGGGCGGCGAGGGAGGGGCGGCGGTGACAACTAAAGTGGAGCTGCCGCCCACGCTGGTCGGCCGACGACTCAACCTCACCGCCCTCAACACCCTCTCTTCCTCCTCCATGAAGGTCACCTGGCAGGTCAGTATAACACTCCTCATGTCACCTGGCAGGTCAGTATATCACTCGTCACCTGGCAGGTCAGTAAAACATTCTTCATGTCACCTGGCAGGTCAGTATAACACTCTTCATGTCACCTGGCATTTCATCATAACACTGCTCTTGTCACCTGGCAAGTGATCATAACACTACCCATGTCACCTTGTTATAAGGTTATGATGCTCTTGCATTATCTAACTCGAGGCTAAATAATTTTACCTCGTTGTAAGGTGTGCAACTGAGGTAGGGACACTTACTCGTTTTCTTCACCTCTCAAACTCCACAGTAAAAGCCTTGTGTATATTTTAGCCACTATGGCGCTACAAAATATAACACTCGCAAAGGCTCAGGAACTGTTAATAGTGGAAGATTGAGACACTTATGCAACATATGGGAATCTTTATTTAGGAAATGTTTCGCTACACAGTGGCTTCGTCAGTCCAATACACAGCAGAAAGGTGTAAGGGGAAGAGGAGTTTGAGGTAATCAGTCCCTCAGCCTGGAGTCGATGTGTTCAGGCCATCAGTCCTGTAGAATGTGTTGCATAAGTGTCTCAGTCTTCAACTTGTCGGTTTCCAAACCCATTCATCGCAATTGTTAATAGTAAACACCAGCGAGCAGTTCTCCCCACACACCCCGGAGCAGTTCTCTCCACACACCCCGGAGCAGTTCTCCCCACACACCCCGGAGCAGTTCTCCCCACACACCCCGGAGCAGTTCTCCCACAACACCCCGGAGCAGTTCTCCCAACACACCCGGAGCAGTTTCTCCACACCCGGAGCAGTTCTCCCACACACCCCGGAGCAGTTCTCCCCCACACCACCCGGAGCAGTTCTCCCCACACACCCCGGAGCAGTTCTCCCACACACCCCGGAGCAGTTCTCCCACACACACCCCGGAGCAGTTCTCACCACACACCCCGGAGCATTCTCCCCACACACCCCGGAGCAGTTCTCCCACACACCCCGGAGCAGTTCTCACCACACACCCCGGAGCAGTTCTCCCCACACACCCCGGAGCAGTTTCCTCACACACACACCCCGGAGCAGTTCTCACCACACACCCCCGGAGCAGTTCTCACCACACACCCCGGAGCAGTTCTCACCACAAAACCCCGGAGCAGTTCTCACCACACACCCCGGAGCAGTTCTCCCCACACACCCGGAGCAGTTCTCCCCACACACCCCGGAGCAGTTCTCCCCACACACCCCGTAGCAGTTCTCCCCACACACCCCGGAGCAGTTCTCCCCACACACCCCGGAGCAGTTCTCACCCACACACCCCGGAGCAGTTCTCCCCACACACCCCAGACAGTTCTCCCCACACACCCCGGAGCAGTTCTCACCACACACCCCGGAGCAGTTCTCCCCACACACCCCGGAGCAGTTCTCCCCACACACCCCGGAGCAGTTCTCCCCACACACCCAGGAGCAGTTCTCATCACACACCCCGGAGCAGTTCTCACCACACACCCTGGAGCAGTTCTCCCCACACACCCCGGAGCAGTTCTCACCACACACCCCGGAGCAGTTCTCCCCACACACCCCAGAGCAGTTCTCCCCACACACCCCGGAGCAGTTCTCACCACACACCCCGGAGCAGTTCTCCCCACACACCCCGAGCAGTTCTCCCCACACACCCCGGAGCAGTTTCTCCCACACACCCCGGAGCAGTTCTCCCACACACCCCAGAGCAGTTCTCCCACACACCCCGGAGCAGTTCTCCCCACACACCCCGAAGCAGTTCTCACCACACACCCCGGAGCAGTTCTCACCACGCACCCCGGAGCAGTTCTCCCAACACACCCTGGAGCAGTTCTCACCACACACCCCGGAGCAGTTCTCCCCACACACCCCGGAGCAGTTCTCACCACACACCCCGGAGCAGTTCTCCCCACACACCCAGGAGCAGTTCTCCCCACACACCCCGGAGCAGTTCTCCCCACACACCCCGGAGCAGTTCTCCACACACACCCCGGAGCAGTTCTCACCACACACCCCGGAGCAGTTCTCACCACGCACCCCGGAGCAGTTCTCCCCACACACCCCGGAGCAGTTCTCACCACACACCCCGGAGCAGTTCTCCCCTCACACCCCGGAGCAGTTCTCACCACACACCCCGGAGCAGTTCTCCCCACACACCCCGGAACAGTTCTCACCACACACCCCGGAGCAGTTCTCCCCACACACCCCGGAGCAGTTCTCCCCACACACCCCGGAGCAGTTCTCACCACACACCCAGGAGCAGTTCTCCCCACGCACCCCGGAGCAGTTCTCCCCACACACCCCGGAGCAGTTCTCACCACACACCCAGAGCATTTCACACCACCCCGGAGCAGTTCTCACCACACACCCCGGAGCATGTTCTCCCCACACACCCGGAGCAGTTCTCACCCACACCCCGGAGCAGTTCTCCCCACACACCCCGGAGCAGTTCTCACCACACACCCCGGAGCAGTTCTCACCACACACCCAGGAGCAGTTCTCCCCACGCACCCCGGAGCAGTTCTCCCCACACACCCAGGAGCAGTTCTCACCACACACCCAGGAGCAGTTCTCCCCCACAACCCGGAGCAGTTCACCCCACACACCACCCGGAGCAGTTCTCCCCACACACCCCGGAGCAGTTCTCCCCACACACCCGAGCAGTTTCCCCACACCCCGAGCAGTTCTCCCACACACCAGGAGCAGTTTTCCCCACACACCCCGGAGCAGTTCTCTCCCACACACCCCGGAGCAGTTCTCCCACACACCCCGGAGCAGTTCTCCCACCACACACCCAGGAGCAGTTTCTCCCCACACACCCCAGGAGCAGTTCTCCCCACGCACCCCGAGCAGTTCTCCCCACACACCCCGGAGCAGTTCTCACCACACACCCCGGAGCAGTTCTCACCCACACACCGGAGCAGTTCTCCCCCACCACCCCGGAGCAGTTCTCACCACACACCCCGGAGCAGTTCTCACCACACACCCCGGAGCAGTTCTCACCACACACCCAGGAGCAGTTCCCACCACCCGGAGCAGTTCTCCCCACACCACCCGGAGCAGTTCTCACCACACACCCAGGAGCAGTTCTCACACGCACCCCGGAGCAGTTCTCCCACACACACCCGGAGCAGTTCTCCCCACACACCCCGGAGCAGTTCTCACCACACACCCCGGAGCAGTTCTCCCCACACACCCCGGAGCAGTTCTCACCACACACCCCGGAGCAGTTCTCACCACACACCCAGGAGCAGTTGTCCCCACGCACCCCGGAGCAGTTCTCCCCACACACCCAGGAGCAGTTCTCACCACACACCCAGGAGCAGTTCTCCCCCACACCCCGGAGCAGTTCTCCCCACACACCCCGGAGCAGTTCTCCCCACACACCCCGGAGCAGTTCTCCCCACACACCCCGGAGCAGTTTTCCCCACACACCCCGGAGCAGTTCTCCCCACACACCCAGGAGCAGTTTTCCCCACCACCCGGAGCAGTTCTCCCCACACACCCCGGAGCAGTTCTCCCCACACACCCCGGAGCAGTTCTCCCCACACACCCAGGAGCAGTTCTCCCCACACACCCAGGAGCAGTTCTCCCCACGCACCCCGGAGCAGTTCTCCCCACACACCCCGGAGCAGTTCTCACCACACACCCCGGAGCAGTTCTCCCCACACACCCCGGAGCAGTTCTCCCCACACACCCCGGAGCAGTTCTCACCACACACCCCGGAGCAGTTCTCACCACACACCCCGGAGCAGTTCTCACCACACACCCCGGAGCAGTTCTCCCCACACACCCCGGAGCAGTTCTCACCACACACCCCGGAGCAGTTCTCCCCACACACCCCGGAGCAGTTCTCACCACACACCCCGGAGCAGTTCTCACCACACACCCCGGAGCAGTTCTCCCCACACACCCCGGAGCAGTTCTCACCACACACCCCGGAGCAGTTCTCACCACACACCCCGGAGCAGTTCTCCCCACACACCCCGGAGCAGTTCTCACCACACACCCCGGAGCAGTTCTCCCACACACCCCGAGCAGTTCTCACCACACACCCCGGAGCAGTTCTCACCACACACCCCGGAGCAGTTCTCACCACACACCCCGGAGCAGTTCTCACCACACACCCGGAGCAGTTCTCCCACACACCCCGGAGCAGTTCTCACCACACACCCCGGAGCAGTTCTCCCCACACACCCCGGACAGTTCTCCCCACACACCCCGGAGCAGTTCTCCACACTACCCCGGAGTCATTTCTCCCCACACACCCTGGAGCAGTTTCTCACCACACACCCGGAGCAGTTCTCACCACCACACCCCGAGCAGTTCTCCACACACCCCGAGCAGTTTCTCACCATCAACGCCCGAGCAGTTATCACCACACACCCCCAAGTTTCTCACCACAAAACCCCGGAGCATTCTCCTACCACCACCCGGAGCAGTTCCAGCCACAGGACCCCGGAGCAGTTTCACCACACACCCCGACATTCTGCCCCGCAGGCATTCCGGAGCAGTTATTCTCCTTCGTTGACTGACACGCCGAACTTCTTACAGATACAATAAACCCACACAAATCTTGGAGACGTTCTAAGACGACACACACTGTGAGGTTTACAGTCTTCCTCACACATTCACAGGAGCAGTATCTCACTCATCAAATTTATCCTTGCATTACTCCACACGAGCCCGGATAGCGTCTTCTCACCATACATCCTTGGTTCAGTTCCCAACAACACCAGGAGATTCACGCATGGAATTCTCGCAGCTCGTCTGAGATTGCACCAGCAGGATCAGGTGACCTTCTATCATCCGACTGTCTTGGCCTGGCAACAGAACCGGTGGTCAATACCGATGGAGGTCTTTGAATCTTGTTTATCGACTGAGTTCACGCGGATTTAACAGCTCTTAAATGAAATTAATACCCACACAAGGTTACTGTAAAGCGAGGACAAACAGGTGAAAGATAAAGCTCATCACACTGGTCTGCACACCAAGTTA